ACTTTAAGTAATTGGCTATTCTGGTTTGACACCACCTTCTGCCCAATGACGCCCGCAAGCGCACGTGAAGTTCAAATGAAATTTTCCATTGACTGCCTCAACCCATCGATGAAGTAACCAGGCAAGCAATCAATCAGTCAGTCAATCGATGAGGCAAGTTGAAGTTGACATTTAAATCTTCACTTACTTCCAGGACGCAATGCGAATGCTGATGACAAGCGATTTAAAGAAAAGTGCAGTACAAGTGGGAAGGCAGTTCCTATTGGGCCTCCTAATCCTCCACTTCGTGTATGGCCGGTGGAGGCGAGCCGGACGTCGGCAACTTGTCTCAAGATGTATAGACTGGTTCCACAGCGCAACTGCGTGTGGTAAGGCTCACTTCATGACTCTTTGCACATGAAAGACGGGTTTCTTTCTTCATCAATGCTTCTTATCTAGCCTTTGCTGAATATTCATTCACAACTACTGGCGGAAAAGAACCCCATTCGGTGGTTAGGAGATTGTTTCCTCTACCACCACTATCTCCATTGCCAAGTTCAATGTCACCTCGCTCGACGCTCCTGCTGCAATTGCAGCCCCTTTCTCTGCCGTGGCTGATGTGGGAGCCGATGGCAACATCCGTGCCTTTTCAACCGATGCTGAATTGGACAACCCACCCACCATTATCCACCCCAGCGTCGCTCACGCAAAGTAAGTCTCCACTCGAAGCTGAAGTCGCGCTCTCCTCTTCTATCTGCATTTCGCAAAATTCAACAATAATCTACCCTTTTTTGTTAAACCTTGAAGCAACCTCGGAAGCAGGACCAGAAGCTGTAGTTGATGGAGCAGAAGAAGTGGGAGTTGGGGAAGCAGCATCAGAAGAGGGAGGTGGTGGTGAGGAGGAGGAGGAGGAGGAAAAAATCATAGAGTTCTTCACCGTGGGAACGGCACTGTGGCATAACAGGAAGGAGGAAATGATTACGGGATTTTACTTCTTTCCCATTACTGATGCGTGGTGCGAGTTTGCTGACAATATGGAAACCACATCCAGGCTGTCCTTCACTGATAAGGGCATGTGGCGTACGAGTGGAGAGGACCCAGCGTTACCGGCGCCACCGGCACCTGGCAAGTCAAAATCGTCGGTAGGTTGCACGCATGCATTTAAACAAACTGTGCAAGGACACACAGAAGGAGGTCGCTAATGACCACTTACTTCCATTTTAGTGGGGCAAGCGTCTACGAAGACGGCTAAAGCGTTTGTTTTGTTGTTGTTGTTCCCCAGCATGTGATTAGATGATTCATTCCCAAATTTATCATATCCATGAACATCCAAATTTACAATTGACTGTTTATTGCTCTACTGCGTCTTGTCACTTCTGGGTGTGGTGGGGATGGCGGTGCGATGGAGTGGTGGCAGGGGGCAGCATTCAAGCAGTTGGATGAAGAGATGTGCGTAACACCCAACCCATCCAACAGATCGACTAGCAAGTCCACAAACATTCAGACAGACAGATAGATGGGCAGGTGAGTAGGCAGATACATGAATGCGTAGATGAGTAGGTGAACAAGTCATTGGCGAGGTAAATCCCACCTATAAAGGTTGCTCTGCCATCTGCAACATGTGTTCTCCTCTCAAGAGCTTCTATACCGCCTAACATTGTCCACTCCTCGTCTGTCGACGCCGTCTAAGGCTTTGTTTAGCAGCATACCCCACCTCGCGACTAACACCTACGATGTATGTTGGCTCAGAGATTCAGGCAGCAACATACAGAGTTGTTCCAGTGTTGTGAAGGCATTCACATCCCTTCAGATCACCTACTAGTGTGCTGAAGCAACTTCACTCAACCGTGGAGGATTCTGTACATCCAAGAATTCGTGGTGTGAATTCGAAATGCAGCCGAGCGCCAACACTGATTGGCTGTTACAAGCCAGTCCTGCAGAAGTACAGACTCAGGCTCAGACCACGTAAATACACCTTGATCAATTTCACCCCTTTACCAAACTGCAATACCGAGACAAGCGTTTAGTGTGCTGGATCATTTTGACATGATGAAGAATGTGTGTCACCTGTTTAAGACATCAGGATGAGATAAGGAATTT